TTTTTTTTTTTTTGCATGAGTCGGATCCTCAACACCACCTGTCAATCAACCCAGCACGCTCGTCAGCAACTGACCAATCAGCGACCTCAATTTGTCCCAAAGTGAAACGCCCCTTACCTGCAGGAACAACTTTTCCTCTGACAACATTGTCGGGGTTTTACATTACAAGCGTCTTGCAGTCAGAGGTTAATAGTTAAATTACATGTTAATGCTTAAAGCTAGTTGTGTTTTGTTTTGTGTGTTTTGTATGTAGATATATGTTGCAACTTCTGGTTGCATTAGTCTTCGTTTGTTATGATCCGTTAAAAGTCCTATTTGTGACTGAGCTCCTCGTTTACAGTCATACCACCCCGAACACGCCCGATCTCAGAAGCTAAGCAGGGTCAGGCCTGTTAGTAATCAGACGGACGACTGCCTGGGAACACCAGGTGCTGTAAGCCTTTGCACTTCTCACACACCACACCATGAGGTGCGTTGGTCAAGCCAAGAGCCATTGTCAGTACTGGGGGCTAAGCACCCCCAAAGGTCAGATCCTATAATCGCCCCTGGGATTAGCAGTTTGTGTATGTTTTCATTTTTTCAGTGTAAAAGTGTCATGTTTGTTTGCATGTTTTAGTCTTGTTCATCAGATTCTATGCTTTCATGTTCAGACTGATGGTCATTTGATGTCTGAGTGAAGCTTCAGTTCATTCACAGAACTGTGTAAATTGTGCCAAAATGTCAAACTGCTCTTTTGTGTGTAAAGCTATTTAAAGGTCAGTGCATGAACGAACTGGTGTTTCTATTCACAGTTTAGGTTTTTAAATTCTCTAATTGCTTTATCAATGAAAATCTAACAGTATTAGAATACCCCATCTTTTTTTTTTTTAAGCTGTTTAAACTTTTCAAAATCTTTGCCAACTCTTCTAAGACCCACAGTCTTATAACTTTTTACACAGCTTATACAATAAATACAAAATGTTGGATTTTGGGGTTATTGATGCTCTAGCACAATTCAAACCTTTATTCTGACATTTTTGTGTTTTATTGTTGTTTATATTAATTTACACTATGTAAATGAAAGGTAGAGGTTCTGTTTGTCCCTTGAATTAGGGGGTGTAGACCAGAGCTCAAGTTGTAAACTAATTGATGCTGGAACGCAAATAGCGGGTGGGCCGGGTCTGGGGGTTTTCCCCCAAGAAAATTTAAAAAAGTAGATGTGATTTGTGCATTTTTGTGTATTTTAACAGGTTGTTCAAGATCTGTTTACCTACATTTGTAAATACTCCCTACCCCCACTCCTCCTTACTTGACGGTTCCGAGCCTGACAGAGTCCCCGCTCGTTGTTGTCAGACACCACATGTCAAATGTCCAGGCGCTTCCTTCGTCTGTTCATGGCAGCTGCCTGTGAGCTCCTGCCTGGTTATCTCAGTCGACACTCACCCCCACCACTCTTTTAGGGGTGGAGATTTTTTTAAGGGTAGAGGCAGAAATGCTACTGTATTTTCCGACATATAAGTTGCACCTTTTTGTAATTTGCAAGTCCTGTGACTCATACACCGAAGCGACTAATATACTTTTTTTGTCCATATTCATAACCTGTTTTTTGACTGACGTGACGCTTTCATTCATTCTGACATGCATCAGATTAAATGTTAACATTTGCAGACGCTAGAGGGGCGAGAGGGCCCTCTAGGCTTTTGGCAACTACCACTACCCCCCCCCCCCCCCCCCCCCCCGAGACATCTGAGAAAAACTTAACACAAGTAAAATGTCCCCAAACAGAAAATCCTATTTTGCAGATTACAAACTGCAGTTAATAAAATATGCTGCCCAAAACGGTAATCGAGCAGCAGGAAAAACGTTTTGTAAACGGGTGGGGTCTGGGCAGTCAGCCCAGGGGGATTCAACCCGGTGGAGGCGACGGCCGCATGATGGTGGAGGCGACGGCCGCATGATGGCGGAGGATCCCCCCTCACGGGTAACCTTCCCCCAGTGTCTGGCTGGCTCCCACCAGGTGCATGCTCTCTACGGCGGTGCACCACCCATCCATCAATCCAGCCATCATCCATCCATCGCGGCTCGGGATGCAAGCTCTACAGCTTTCCTCCACCGCAGGATCGAGGAGGAAGGCTCCGCGACGGTGCACCACCCATCCATCCATCCATCGTGGATCACGTGCCTCGATGCCCCCTTCCTCCCTGTTCCAGTGGCAGAGGAAGGGGGCAGTGAGGCGCATGATCCGCGGCCCTGGGAAAGAGCAGTGTGCGAGCAGGGGGACGCTGTAGAGCCGCGAGCCTTCGTCCCAGCTTCGGCGGTGGAGCAGGGACAGCTTCTGGGCAGCTTCATTTCGCTGCACCACCCAGGCGAAATGAAGCTGTTTTGACCATGAAAGTGCATTTATTCAGGAAAAGTTAGACTGAGACACACCTTTGCCATAATGTCGAGCAAGCAAATAATTGTTTTTAAGTGTTAATCTTGATAAATTCTTGTTAAAATCCTCCCGTGCACGCCATTTGGCAGCCAAATGATTTTTGGCACGACACCGGCCCACGTATGCTGGGCGTCAGCGGTGATGCATAATAAATGCAACTTATACGGTGAAGTGGCCTTTTTTTTACACATTATGAGACATTTTTGGACTGATGTGACTTATACGCCAGTGCAACGTATACGGTGGACAATACGGTACTTGAAGGGGCAGCTCATATCTGATATTAAGTGGCTGTTGTGTTTAAAATGAGTGTTTATGTAATTATTTTCAGTTTACATATCCAATATAAGCTTTATTCGTTCAAGGCGGTCATATTTTTCATAACTTTATTAATTGTAAGCCTGAGAGTTGCTGGATTCAAGCAAACAGTTACTGGAACGCACCCCGACATAATGAAAGTTCCCAGATCCTGTTTTGGCAGGATCCGGCTCAAATAAAGCACTGGTGTACGGTACATCCTGAACTTTTATTTTCTCCTCTGTCGTTTACCTTACCTGGAATTGGTTGGAGTAAATGGGTTGTAGAAGTCCTGAGCTATTCTGTGGCCGTACCAGGACGTTCCCACTAAACCAAGCAGACCTAAAAACCATGAACAGGAAAAAAGACAAATTCAGCTAAAAGCACGAAGAAGAGCAGGGAATTGGGTTTTCTTTGTTTCTGAAGCCTCACCAGCAATAATGAAGACGACCCCTCCAGCCAGAGCCACTTTGTTCTTCTGCTCCGGCTGTTCTGACATACAGGTGGTGCACTTCATCCCCACCATGGACACCATGATGGAAATAAGCGACAGCAAAATGGAGGACACCATCAGGCCTCGCGCTCCCTGCACAATATCTGGAGACACAAATTTTGTGCATTAGAACAATTCACAATTCATTCAAATGTTCAAACGTCAGCGTTCAGGAGTAAAATGTTTCCTTGTTTTCATGCTCTGCTTTATAAAGGCTCATGAGTCTAACATGCAGAGATTCTTTTATTTCCACCTAAGACAAGCACCTCAAACAAAACAGACAGGAATTTATGCAATTACACATTATAATTTTTTAATAAGTCTGCTATCAGTCTTTTAAGCTCAATAATATTTATATTTGATAAAGTTGTTAAAAATAAGAAATGTGTGGGAGCTGCTCATATTTCTGTCCCGTTATATTCTGCGTCTTTAATGAGACAGCTGCTGGAATTTGACATGTCTCGGCACGCCGGAGGTCTTTCCAGATAAAGCGCACCGTGAACATAAACTGCAACAAGAGGCACAGACTTCATGGTAAACTCTGTGCATCATTTATTTTCTCAAGACTTTTAACTTTTCCTGTACGCACAAATTTATTTTAAAAAATGATTCTGGATTTTTATGCTGATCATGTTTTGGTTATTATGTTTCAAGAGCTATAAAATATTACTTTAAAAATGATAAATAAATCAGTACCTGGTAGTTGGAGGAGGGAATCATAGACTTTACACTGAATTTGTCCCGTGCTCTGATATACACAGGACTTCCACAGCCCCTCATACATGGCCTGGGCTGTGATGATGTTCTCCCCAGCATAGGATGAAGCCTTCCACTCCACCATGACTGTAGATGCTATGATCCCAATGAAGCCAATGAAGCCCAGTGTGAAACCAAGAAGCTGTATTCCTCCATTTGCCATTGTTCAGCTCTAGAAACTCAAAACAAAGGAACGTAAAGATGAAGCCAAAACCAAAAAGTGTTTGAAGTAATAAAAAAATTTGGCTTGTGTTCTCCGTGCTGGTTGTGCCCTAGGAATTTGCTCCCCCCCCTAAAAAAGGTGTGTACCTGTCCATCCTTAAAGAAAAACCTGGAGAAAAGGGAGGATCCAGGAATGCCATCACCTTTTGTTGAGGTCAGAAGGATACGAGTGACACCTTGTGGAGCTGAGCAACTTCTGCAGCAAAGAACTGAAATCTGAAGATCCACTAGAACAGGGGTCTGCAACCTGCGGCTCTGGAGCCACATGTGGCTCTTTGGTCCCTCTGCAGTGGCTCTTTCAAGCTTTGACCAAAACTAACAAAAAACTAAATTTTATTGGTTGTTATACAAACAACAAAAAGGACTAGTTTTAGCTGTTTTCCTGTCATTCCTTTTGCATATATGTGAATACTGGAACAAGTACAAGGAGTAAAATATACTCACTTTAACTTTACTTCTATACTTAATTAATTTTCCCACAATTAAAAAAAATTACATAGGTTAGCTTAGTTCATAGTTTTTATTATTGTATTTTCTGGCATATAAGTCATAGTTTTTTTGCATATATTTGCCTGTCCTATGACTTATATGCTGAAGCAACTTATATATATATTTTTTCCAATATTCATAACGCAATTTTTGACTGACGCTTTAAATTTTAAAGAACTGCAACAGCGAGTCCTCCCATGCACGTTTGCTTCACTCGGCTGGAGTAGGTGGAGGAACGCTGGAGATCTAGCGGCTCCGGTCGCAATGGATGGATGGATGGATGTATGGATGGATGGATGGATGGAGCCACGCCACCCAGGCAAAATGAAGCTGTTTTGAGCATTAAATAAATGCACAATAAATGTGACATAATGAATGCGACTTGTGCTTTTTTTCTCTTCATGATGCTTTTTTGACTGATGCAACTTATACTCCGGAGCGACTTATATGCCGGACAATACGGTAATTAAAAAAACTATCCCACAGGCCAGTGTATCTTTTGTGCTGGTCCCAAGCCCGGGTAAATGGTGAGGGTTGTGTCGGGAACGGCATCCGATGTAAAACACTTTTGCCAAAACCATAATGCGAGTTCATTAAAGGTGCAGGACTTCAAGTACTTGGGGTCCACTGTCCAGGAAAATGGGGAGTGAAAGAGGTGAAAAAGGGAGTCCAGGCAGAATGAAGTGGATGGAGAAAAGTTTCAGGAGTGATTTGTAACAACAGGGTGTCAGCAAAGGTCAAAGGAAAAGTTTACAAGACATTTGTGAGACCAGCTGTTGTAAGGTCTGGAGACAGACATTGACAAAAAGACAGTAGAAAGAACTGAAAGTGGCAGAATTGAAGATGTTGAGGTTCTCCTTAGGAGTGACAAGGATGGATAAGATTAAGAATGAGATCATCAGAGGTACAGCACAGGTTGAACAACTGGGAGATAAAGTTAGAGAGACCAGACTGAGATGTTTGGACATGTCCAGAGGAGGGACAGTGGGTATACTGGTAGAAAGATGTTAGAAATGCAGCTGCCAGGAAAAAGACAAAGAGGAGAAACATGGATGCAGTTAGAGAGGACATGGAGGTAGATGGAGTGAGGACAGAGGATGAAGAGGACAGAGAGATGGAGGAGGATGACTCGCTGTGGAGACACCTGAAGAGGGAAAAGATGAAAGAAGAAGAAACGTGTCAGGGTGTACCAGTAATAAATTGTTTTTTTGCAGGTCCTAAAACTACAAATCTGCTGCAGGTGTAAAAAGAACATGCACAACAAATTCCACCATGTTGTTAAAGGAAGTCAGAACAGAAAAGTAAAACCCTAGAACTGAAAGAGGGTGGAAGTTTTGTCCTCCATGACTGTATCTAAAAAAAAAAACAGGTAAATCAAGGGGGTGTTTAGTTTGACTTTTTGTCACAACTGTGGACCTGTGTTTTCTTTTCTTTAACGTGTAAGACGTGACACTTTTCTCTCCTTTCTGTCTCAGCAACCATGGATCCAGATTTGTTGAAACTAACAGTCCACTTATCTCTGGAGAAACCTTTCTGTTGTTGTGAGCTCATAAAATCCTGGCAGAAGTCAGTCGCAGTCCAAAGGTTTATCTTTCCTAATTCAGCCTTACTGTTTGCTGTGAGTCAGCTTGTGTGCAGATCCACATGGACATTTATTTCAGTGTGATGGGATTTCTGTAACACAGGTACGTTCTTGTTCTTTTTAAACTGGAACACGTGTTTTAAATTAGATCATTCTTTTTGTGAACGCATCTAAATAGTGGCTATCAAAGAGTTATCAAAATTACACTTGTTTTTATTCTCGTCTGTTATTTTACACAAGCTGCTTTTTGTGTGTTTTGACAGTAAAAATGGTCAAAGAGTTGGGTCTGGCTCTGCTCCTGGTGCTGCTTCTCTGCCACAGAGTCAGCAACAACTGGCAGAACATCTGTCCATACCGATGTCAGTGTTTCACCCAGGTTCAGGTGCTGTGTACTGAAGAACGGATGTCACATGTGCCTGGAAACATCTCTAAAGGCGTCAAGGAAGTTATTATCATGACGTCTTCTGTGAGCTACCTGTTTGCCCACACACTACATGACAGCCCACAGCTTACCAAGCTCATTTTCCTCAACAATGCTCTGCGCAGTGTCCACGCCAGGGCGTTCGAGCATATGACCGAGCTGCAGGAACTGGAGATCAGTGGGAACCCATGGCTGGACAATTTGTTCATAGGAACTTTTTCAAAGCAGGAGAATTTGATGAAGCTTCTGCTCAACTACAACAAGTTCCAGACGATTCTTCTCGGTATGTTTGATTCCCTGACACAGCTCGAAACACTGCAGCTGAAGAACAACTTCATATCAGATCTGCCCTCCTTTCTTTTCCAGAACCTCAGCAGGCTGCGTGTTCTGGACTTGTCCCAAAATAAACTTGAGGCGCTGACAAGAGAGACTTTTTCTGGTCTGGCGAAGTTAGAGATTCTGAAAATGAACAACAACCTCATCAGCAATCTCACATCCGACACCTTTCATAACATTTCTCATCTCGTTGAGCTTCACTTGGAGGGAAACATGTTAGAAGGACTGAACGACAGCGTTTTCTCCGCCTTAACAAATTTAAGTGTGCTGAATCTTCGAGGAAATCTTCTGACATCCTTCAGCGATGAAGTCTTTGGATTTGAGCCATCCAATTTAAAGGAGCTGAACTTGAAAAGCAACCGACTGGCTGAGCTATCGCCTCTGAGCAGTCTAGCCTCACTGACTGACCTTATCTTATCAGCTAACCAGCTTTCCAACCTCACGGGAAACCTTTTCAGGAATGTGAGCGCCCTGGAGAACCTGGACCTGTCTGAAAACCAGCTCACCTCTCTCCCTGAAGTTATCTTTAAAGGTCTTGTAAACATCAAGGAAATTCACCTCCACAGTAACAACCTGACAAAGGTGGAGGCCAAGCTGTTTGAGGACCAGTGGTTTCTTCAGAGGCTCTACTTGTCTGACAACCAGCTGGAAATGCTCCCTGAGGGTAGTTTGGACTCGTTTATCTTCCATCCCACTGTGAGGCTGCATGGGAACCCGTGGGCATGCGACTGCCGCTTGTGGTACCTGCATGACTGGGTGCTGCAGAACAGTCTGGGTGTGGAGATGCTGGACAGGCTGCTGTGTGCAAGCCCGAGCTTTTTGAGACAACGGACTCTTGTTTCCGTTGACAAAGATCAGCTGGTATGTCACCTGTCTGAGAACAAGATGTCTGATTTCAAGTCCTGTATCCTTCAAAAATACAACAACACATTTAATATCAAGTGTAAAGTGGAGAAATGCTCTTCAGTGACAGTGAGGGTTCAGTTTCAGGAGGAGAACGGACACATGACGGAGCACGTTTTGAAAAATGAGGATGAAGATTCTCAGTGTAGCAATGAAACCGCGATAGAGAACGCAAACAATTAGTTTGTTCACGGTGCAACTTTTTTTCTTTACACCAGGGGTCAAAGAATGTCCCGTCTGTCAACACAGACTAAAATCACCAGCTGATAACCAGCAGGAATGCAACTGAATGAAATGAAAGGTGGATGAACTCTTTCTTTAAACATGCAAAGGTCAATTCTTTTTAAAAGTTCTTGTTGTGGCTAAAAAGAACAGAGAACAATTAAAACCTGTTCTGTCTTTGGCTCATCTCATTGTTCATAATGCGTGATGATAACGCTGAAACGTCCGTTGTATTTTCTGATCTCCATCAGGATTACCTGATTTGCACAACCATCTGTGATCGTTGTTCGAGTGTGGCTCTTTTAGCTATTCATTTCAGTCCAAATGGATCAGAACCAAATAAGTTCCTTTACAAATAACTTTTTTTAATATTAGCAACACTTTGATTTGGAAGAGTTTATCAAAACATAAAAAAAATAGATTTGCTTGTAAGTTCCCAGAAAAGTATTTTATTAAATCTTATTCATTAAGAACTGAATTTCTCATGACAGGTTCAATTTGTATCATTTTGCTCTGAAACAGTTGACAAAAGTACTTACCCCCTTCAGAAATAACTATTTGTTAAATATAAACTAGGGTTGTAACAAGTGAGTGAAATCAGTTACCATGATGAGCTGCAGAATTTTAAAGAGAAAAGATGCTCCGACCTCATTCTCACTGAATTTACTCTGTCTCTGAAAAGAATAGGGGAAAATGTGAAGCTTTGGGAGACTGAGCTTTGTTTAATTTGCCATGTTTTTATTCATACATGAGAAAACCATGTTCTGTTCATAGGTTAGATGGTTTGAGTCAGACCAGTCCTTCTCTGATTATCCCTCCTGAATACTCAACAAAGGAAATAAAGAGTCATGGAGGAGGAAAACTTCACACACAGATGGCTCCACCTTGAATACAGCACTAACTCCTGGTTAACAAGGGTCAAATGTCAGGGGGTCAATTAGCCCTTTATTTCAATATGAATGACATCACAATTTATAGCACAAAACGTGATGGCTCGGGAATTTCCAAATGTTTGGAGAAAATGACCTTAGGTTACCTTATTTGTCCAAAACTGTGGAGTAAACATTTAAAAATCACAAGTTGTTAAGGGTAATGATTGTGAAACAATTAGAAGTCCGGTATTTATCTGCAAAACAACGTTTTACAATTAGCTTTAACACTACTGCTTAAAAATATTGATAATTTTTCTGAAAACCATGTGAATGGTTTTATTTCAGTCACAGAGAAGGAGATGTTTGTTAATTAATTAACTTAATTGTTAATTATTGAACAATTTCATGTGTTTTGAATTTTTAGCAGACATTTTTTGAAACACAAATATAAAAAATATCTATTAAAAAAATGACAAATTCAGTGTGTGTGTGTGGGTGTGTGTGTGTGTGTGTGTGTGTGTGCGTGCGTGCGTGCGTGCGTGCGTGCGTGCGTGTGTGTGTGTGTGTGTGTGTGTGCGTGTGCATGCTCTCTGTGGGGTAATCTGAGCTCTACACTATCATGTATCAAGCTAAAGCACAGAGAGACCAAATGTAGCTATCAGATAGTAAGATACATAAAAAAATAAAATAAAGATGTGTTCAAAGACCTTAAAGGAAAATCAGCATTGAACTATTTTTTTCAGAGACTCAATAACAGGCCTGTCACGATAACAAATTTTGCTGGATGATTAATTGTCTCAGAAATTATTGCGATAACAGAAATTATTGCGATAAACGATAATATTGTTTGAAATTTGTCAGTATTTAGTAATTATTATCAAATTTATGAAGAAATGTTTTTAATTTGTTTTGAGTGTAGTACCTTTTTCCGACCACCAGATGGCAGTATAAGACTGAACCAAAGGATGAAAAGTGAGGGAGCAAGCAGCGTGTCTCTTTAAGAAAAAAGGGAGGAGGCCCCTTGACATGGAGGTCTCTCTTCAGTTCTCAAAATGGCAGATGCTCTGTGTGGTTTGAGCTCTTTAGCATAGCATTTTTCACACAAAGTTTTTAATAAAACAATAATTAAACAAGTTCTCAGCTTCTTTTTGCAGAGAAAAACAACTTTTTACATGAAAGCACGAGTTTCAACCGTGAATTTTGGAGCTTCGACAAGACGGAGGTTTTTTCCTGAGGTCGGCCTATTAGCTTATTTCGTAGCTTAGCTGCTTTTAACGATCCAGAAACACGACTTTGGACGGTTAAAATGGATTTTAAAGAGAAAGTGAGGGGTTACACCAGAGTTGAGCTTTTTGTCATCCAGTGTCTTTAGTAGAGAGCGACACAAAGAAATGATGAAGCTGATAAATGAAAATGAGGTTGATAATGTTCATTTATCATGCGATTAATTGATTTATTGTTTATTGTGACAGGCCTACTCAATAACAAAAAAAAAACATAGACAACATAGTGACTCCTGTATGTGTGTACATGTTAGCCAAGTGGCAGCACGGTGGGACAGTTGGTAGAGCTGCCATCTCTCAGCGAGCAGGTTGCCCCGGCTCAAATCCCAGCCGGGGGCCCCTTGAGTTTGCATGTTCTTTTCGTGCATGTGTGGGCCCTCCCCAGGTACCCCGGTTTCCTCCCACAGACCAAAAACATGCATGTTAGGCTGATTGGTAACTCTAAATTGTCCCTGAGTGAGACAGTGAATGGTTGTTTGTCTCTCAAGTGTCCCTGTGATGGACTGGAGACCTGTCCAGGGTGTCCCCCACCTCTCGCACAGTGATAGATGGACATGGACACCAGTGACCGCTGCGACCCAGAAAGGAAGAAGCGAGTAAAGATAATGGATGGAGCAATTATTATCTCACAAACTTATGCTTTTCTAACAGAATCTGAAAAACAATTTATACAATTCCAGGTTCATCAGCAGTAAAAGTGAGGTTTGAACGAACAACGTATGAGCAGAAAGTTACATGTCTGGGTGGTGAAAGAGACAGCAACAAGCAAACCCAGCTGTTTCCTGTGAAGTTCTTAAGAGTGATTAAAGTATGGTGGCTTCAGCCAATGATTCATCCAAAATGATTAAAAAAAAAACAATGAGTTGCAAAAGTATTCACCCCTTAGTATAATTTTCACTTTTATTATATTGTTGCCTTGATATTTAAAAGAATTTTCAACATGTGTTGTTTGTATTAATTAAAAAAATTTTTTAAATTAAGAAAATTAGCCTGTGTAGCAGAACACGAGACACATGAGTCATCATTTTTACCAAATCCCTGCCAGCATCATTCCCTGACAGTTTCTCCCACTGCCCTGAGAGCATCGGGATGCTGTGTCTGACCGCGACGTGCTGGGGACTGTTTAGTCAGATCTCCTTTCTCAATCCTGCACGCACCACGTTCTACACGCAAAGTTTCAAGACTGAAAAGAAGAGAAACAGAGGGGAGGGGACATTATCTGGTGAGACAAACAATGTCCAAAACAACACAAAACACTGGAGGGGTGTTAGCACAGAGTTCAGCAGGGAGGTGGAGCGGGGCAGTGCTGGGTCTTCAGGACAAAGAAGAGGTCAGCTGAGGCTCAGAGCCTGGGGTGAGAACCCAACAGGAGACTTCGTCATCAGAAAATCTAAACTAATTTCACACACAAAATATATATTAGTGCGTTATTACCAAATTTATCATCAACAACCTCAAACTAGACAAGAAAACAAGTGTCTGTTGATCTCTACTCCACCACAGTCATGTCCTTCCCTCAGTGGAACACAAATAAGTTCACTCAGATGTGAAGCGACAACCAGCACCAGTTGCTATTATGTGGACAGGTTTCCATTAGCTCCACGCTCTTAGCCACTGAGAGGGTGACACACATTCTCCATGATATGATGACCCAAACATTTCAAGAACACAAATAAATCCTTTAGCACACTCAAAATGCAAACCATGCTTACAAACAAGGGTCATGGTTCTCCCCTCACTGCATCCCGACCCTTGGATTTAGGCTAAATTGGTGTTGGTGACCAAATTAAGAACAGCTGACCTGATGTGAGTGTTAAGTGGACGTGGAGATGTCACCATAATAGTAAGCTTTCCATGCACTGGTTCACTGGCCTTTGTCTTGTCCGTTCCTATTGGAGGATGACAAGAGGCTATAAGCTTCTTATCATCACGTTACAATTATGGAGGAGGAATCAGGAACTATGGCCCTATAGACCATCTCTGAAAAAGCCAGCCTTGTTTTTTGTCAAACCTCCCAGATGGAGAGGTTTTATTGTGCATACGTGCAGACCTTCATTGTTTATGTCTTGTTCAATGGGGAGTCACTGAAACACCCAGCAGTTTGTTGCTGCCTAACATCTAGAGTACCTCCCACATTAAAATTTCCAGCAGCAGAAGTTCAAGTGACCATTGTCTCATGGTGGAAAGGCATTAAGATACATGAGTTATGACTCGAGACATGGTCATCCATTTAAGTTTGTTTGTGTTATTTAGTTTAATGCATATTAAATCCTGATTTTCAGAAAAAAAAATCCACTTGCTCAAGTTCCAGTCACCTGGCACACCTTATTTAATGGTTTCACAAAGCACACTTTTTAAAGTTGACAATAAACCCCAAAGGATACAGAAACTTTCCAATCCCCGTTTTACAGACACATATTCTTTGCTTTAATTATTTACCACTCAGAGGAATTCTTTAAAAATGTAATTTCCTACAGTTTGGAGGATGAATTTGTCTTGTGTGAATAAATTGTTATTCAGAACACTAACGTACATCTTTGTTACATTTGATGAAACTGAGGTTTAATGCAAAGGGCACCGTCTTCACTCTGTCCGTCATGTTTATATAGCGTGGTACAAAATCACCTTTATGCCTCCTGAAGTCCTCCTGGTTGTTCTTGGAGCGCCACTCTGTCAGCTTCTGATTATTGAGTGCTGATCTGTTCTATCCTGTGCTTAGTCTCACCACTGTGGTGTCATCTGCAAATTTAACAATGATGTTGGATGAAAAGGTAGTCATGGGACTCCAGTGCATATAACCCCAGGA